GTGCTGCACAGGGAGCACAGGTCAGGCTGAGAAGGTGGGGCCCACCCCAGACTCTACCCGAAGCACAAACCAGCCCTGGAGATGGAAATGGGGCTGTTTGGGAATCAAGGCTGGGCAAGGCAGCGGCAATGACCATGGGCACGCAGCAGTGAAGTGGGGAGGGAGCCCTGGTGGAACCGAGGAAAGCCGGTGCAGAGCCCAGACCACAGGCACTGGGATTTGGGGCGAGCAGGGCAGGAGCAGAAGGGCGCCAGAGAGACTTCCTCTGCCACTTGGTCCGTGTGACCTTGGGGAGTTGCTTCGCTCTCTGACTTCCACCGCCCTGGTTTCTAAATAACAAGAGAAAAGCAGGTGGTGTGTTGGCTGAGCCACTGCTCAGCGCCACCTCGGCTGCCTCTGATCTGTTGTCCATTGACAGCAGGAAAAGCCCAGACCACAGTTCATGGGCTTTCTTCTTCATTTGTTTAACTGGCGTGTGTGTGTGTGTGTGTGTGTGTGTGTGTGTGCGTGCTCGCGCGCGTGCGTGGGGGGGAAGGGGGGAGAGAGAGAGAGAGAGAGAGAGAGAGAGAAACGGAAACGGTTACTCCATGTGGTCAACGCTGTAATTATGGTCACCATGTTCTCCAGACCACAAATCAGGTCACACAGTGTGACAGAGGCTATTTTCTCTCTCTACCAAGGTCTAAACGTAAAAATCACATGTAGTTACACATTTTGTTGGGTCACCTTTTGTTTTCTGTGAAATGACACGAAATCTTGACAAACAGTATATTCCCAGAAACCCCACCACCAGGAGCAGGAAGATTTCCTGAACAAAGTGTTGTGGGCTCTGGGGTCTTGAAGGCTGAGTAAGGAGGTCACCAGGCAGAGAAAAAGCCTGAACACTGGTGGGGAAAACCCACCCTTCTTGCTTTAAGGGCAACACTGCTGGGAACTGGGAGGCGGGGATGGGGGCTCAAGCAGCGAACAGGGCTTGACTTTCGCTGTTCACAACACCTCTTAGGATGCATGTCACAGAATGGATACTGCTTTACAGCTGGATGCATTTATAGTTCTGTGCCTGCAGCAGACACCACCTTCCTCCAGGACAATCTGTCTAGCTCATCTCTGTGTTCCCCCATCTCTTGTCCCCTTCCAGGCTGTCATGAGGAGAACCTGACATATCCTTAATATATGTCAAATAAGAAATGAATGAAGTACCATTGGTGGCTCCTTGGATGTTTCGGGGGCCATAGAGGATAGTGCACAGGGACTGTTGACTCTGTAAGCAGGAGACCCTGTGATGCTGGAGATTCAGCCCAGGGTGCTGGCATCGAAAGCTCTCTCGGGCCTGAGAGAACGTACAGTGTGGAGGGCGCCTGCCTTGCATGTAGCCGACCTGGATTCAACCCCCCAGAACTCCATGTGGCTCCCTGAGCCCCACCAGGAGTGACCAATGAGTGCAAAATCAGGAGTGAAGCCCTGAGCACTGGCCTAAAATTAAAAACAAACACACAAACAAAAGAGCATGCAATCCATTTTTTTTTCTTTCTTTTTTTGAGTCATACCCAGCGATGTTCAGGGGTTACTCCTCACTTTGCACTCAGAAATTACTCTTGGCGGTGCTTGGGGGACCATATGGGATGCTGGAGATTGAACCCGGGTCAGGTGCATGCAAGGCAAACGCCCTACCCACTGAACTATTGCTCCGGCCCCACATGCAATCAGTTTTGGGTCACCTCTCAGCCCGAGTAGCCTTGTATGTGGTCAGTATCCTCTGCTTGGTGACACTTCCATTAAACTTTCATTCTCTCTCTCTCTCTCTCTCTCTCTCTCTCTCTCTCTCTCTCTCTCTCTCTCTTTCCCCCCGAGGGGGATAGCGATTGAGCCAGGCTTACTGATTATGTGTTCAGGGGTCACTCCTAGTGGGCCTCTCAGGGCCACGTCAGCTGTGTACAGGCCAAGAGCCTCTGCACCCCATTTTCTCTTTTTCGCCAGCAAATGTATGCTGGTTTGTGCCTGTGCCTGGCGCTGCTGGGACAAACATGGTGCTGCCCACAGGGAACCCACACTGGAGCATGAGACGACCCACCCACATGAGGTGACCACAAGGGTGATGATGCAGGAGAGATGTGTGTGTCAGGAGGCCTGGTCTGGGCAGGGACCAAGGGGCGCAGCTGGAAATGTGGGTCCTCAGCTCCACCTGCATAAAGAGCCCCAACCTGTGTGTGTGTGTGTGTGTGTGTGCGTGCGCGCGCGTGGGTTGGGGGGGGGTGACTCCCTCTTCATAGGCTTTCTGGTGAGCTTCGGGGGTCGCCTTGATGAGCAGCAGTTTTGAAAACTAAAGAAGAGTAGGAAGTGGATCCCAGGGAGGGCTCAACAGGCCGGATGCTGTGCACGCAGGGGCCCGGGACTGCTGGCACAGCACAGTCCCCTGAGCAGTGCCAGGAGGGACCCCCTGAGCACTGTCCACTGTGTTCCATGATACAGACCAACCCCAAACAAAGCAATCCCCAAAAGAGGAAAAGGCAGCGACCCCGGTCCACAGTTGTGCCCCGCAGCCTGTTCGGGATGGGCAGTTTCCAGGGGTGACTCGGCAGCCCTGGACCCAGGAGGCAGATTCTGACTCCCCACACTCCCACAGTGCCTGTTCCCTCCGCCTGCCTTCTCTCCATTCTGCCTTCTCTCCCCACTTCAGGGCCTTGTCCGATCCGCCAGCCCTTGCTCAGGGCGGCTGGTATCTGCTGGGCCTGTCTAAGTTTCTCCACTCATTCTTTCCTCCCTGCTGCTTCCCCCCAGTCCTTCCTCACTGCCCCTCCCTCCCCCCTCCCCCTCCCCACTTGTCCTCAGCACTACAGCACTTCCCCTGTGGCCTTTGCACCCGGAGTTTCCTGTGCCACCTTTCCTTGCTGACCTCAGTCTCTGACCCATTCTTCTCCCGAGCTGGCTGCCTTCCTCAAAGTTCTTTCTGCTCCTCTTACTGTGACCCACGCAGCCTGGTCCTCAGCCCCAATATGTCTTGTGAGAGAACATGGATGTTGTTTTCCACCTGATCAGGGGCCTGGGCCTGGCATAAAGAAGGTGCAGGGATGTAGGCCCGAAGCAGAGACCAACAGGAATAAAGTCCTTGGGACCTGTTTGTTTTGAAATTTTTATTTATTTGGGGCTGGAGCAATAGTACAGCGAGGAGAGCATCTGCCTTGCATGCGGTCGACCTGGGCTCAATCCCCAGCATCCCATATAGTCCCCTGAGCACCGCCAGAAGTAATTCTGAGTGCAGAGCCAGGAGCAATCCCTGAGCACCGCTGGGCCTGAACCCCCTCCCCGCCCCCCAATTTTTTTTTTGCTTTTTGGGTCACACCTGGCGAAGCACAGGGGTTACTCCTGGCTCATGTACTCAGGAATTACCCCTGGCAGTGCCCAGGGAACCATATGGGATGCTGGGAATCGAACCCGGGTTGGCCGCGTGCAAGGCAAATGCCCTGCCCACTGTGCTATCACTCCAGCCCCCCCCCCCATTTTTAAAAAATGTATTTATTTTAGTTTTGGGGCCACACTCAGCGGTGCTCAGGGCTTACTCCTGACTGTGCTCAGGGACCACTTTGGGTATTGGGGGGTTGGGGGGACCAGATGGGGTGCTGGGGGTCCAACCTGGGCTGAATTGTGTCCTACCCACTGGACTGTCTCTGTGGCCCCACAGAACCTGTTTAACCTACTTGGGGTGCAGTTTAAATCATTAGTCACCAGAACAGAGACTGTAAAAGGGGATTTTCTGGTGAAGTTGATTTCTCGAGCCAAACTGATGGGGGGGGGTCTGGTGCAGGGATCACCCACAGTTCAGGCTTGGGGTCATCACTGTGAGGCTAAGCTGATAAGTCTCACCACACGTCTTCCATACAAAGCTGTCTCACAGGGGTATCTGCGGTCAGGAAGCTGGTTTTACTCTTCAGTCCCTCTGCAAGCTCCAGCTTCAGCATCCGCGGCGGTGGAGAGCTGGTCCAAACCCTGAGCACAAGGACGTGGCCCTTGGGGGCACCAGGGTGAGTTCCATGAGCTAAGCTTGTGGTCTCTGCCTCCCTCTGCTCTGTTCTAGCTCCTCTTCTTTCTTTCTTTCTTTCTTTCTTTCTTTCTTTCTTTCTTTCTTCTTTTTTTTTTTTTGATACCTGGGCCACACCCCGTGGTGCTCAGGCCTTGCTCCTGGTGGTGCTTGGGGGACCATACGGAATGCCGGGGATCCAACCTGGGCTGGCCATGTGCAAGGCAAACGCCTTACTGCTCTACTATGGCTCTGACCCCTAGCTGCTCATATTTATCAAAAATATTTCTCAGCTTCTCACCTGGAGCTTCTTAGGTGCCCAGGAAACCCCCAAACTCCTGTTTCCAAAATCGCCCTCATCCTCCCCCGGTCAGGACCTCTAGGGCAGGGGCAGCAGCCCAGGCCAGGCGCTTCTGAAAACTCACCCCATCTCCATCAGTCCACTCTGCAGAAGGGACTCCCGGGCCTTCCAGCTCGGGCCCGCGCAGGCCCGGGGGGCTCGGGCGCAGGCGGAGGAGCCGCCTCGCAAACCGTCACGGCTCTCCCGGCCCGGCGCCCCGCGCGCACAGCCCACCCCGCGGACGCGCAGGACCGGAGCCGGCTGAAGTCACGGCGGGGATGGGCCACCGGTTCCCCGCGAGGGGCGCATCGCACCAGGTCCCCCCCACCCTTCACCTGCCTCCGGGCCGCCCGGCGCGGGGACCCTCGGGCGCGGGGGGCGGGCAGGGAACCCGGGAAGGGAGCGCGGCGGCGAGGTGAAGAAGACTCACGGGGGCTGCCCGGGCCCGGGGCGGGGTCCCGCGGCGCGGCGGGAGCGGCTCTTTGTCTCCCGGCGGGTCCCTCGGCAGCCCCGGCGCCCCCCGCCCCCCACCCCCGGGCCCGCGAGCCGCCGGCCCCCCCGGGGCTTTGTTCCCGGGCCCCGCCGCCGCCGCCCGCGCCCCTCCCCGCGCGCTCCCAGCCCGGGGTCAAAGGCAGCCGCGTCACGTGGTCGCCGGGCGGCCCGACTCGGCCGGGAGACGCGGGCGCCGCGGGGGGACGCCGAGCCCGGGCGCCGCCGGCCAGCGCGGGAGCCGCGGCGGGGTGGCCGCGGGGAGGTGAGCGCGGCGGGCCGGGCGGGCGGGCGCGCGGGCGGGCGCGGGCCGGGGCGCGGGGCGCGGGCGGCCGGGCCCGGCGCGGGGGCGAGCCGGCGGGGCGGGGGTCCCGGACACCGCCCCTCCGCGCGCTGCCCGCTGCCCCGCCCGCTCCCGAGCGGGCAAACTTGCGTCTGGCCCCGGGGGGGCCCGGGCCGGGCCGGCTCGGCTGCGGGAAGGCGCAGGGGAAGGGGGGCGGCCCGACCCGGTGTCGGGGCCTGCTCGCAACTCCCCGGCGCCCGGGGCCCGCGCCCCTTACTGATGCCCGCCACGCGCGTAGGGCACAGGCGCTGGGCCTCCCGGGGCCCCCAGCCCCAGGTCAGTCGTGCCCGGCCGGGAGCCAGGCCCCGGGGCAGGGGCAGGGGGCAGGGGGCGGGAGGGAGGGGGGAGGGGCGCGTTAGAGACCCCCTCGGCTCAGCGCCCTCCACCCCCAGGCACCCGGCGGAGGAGGCAGAGCGGGGACCCTCCCAGAGTGCCCGGGCTGGCCCAGGGCGTGCTGCCCTCTGCGTGTGGCGCTGAGTGGCTTTCGAGTGGGAGACTGGGGCTGTCACTCCCCAGCTGTGCGCGCCCTCTGTGTCTTCACCGCTCTCCCCGGCCTCCTCCGTGTCTTCCCCTATAGAATGGGGGCCAGGGGTGGTATCTGTCCTGGCAGGGAGGGGCCGCGCGGTGACACCCCAGTAAAGAAATGATGGCATGCTTATGTTCAACAAGTATTTCCCTAAGCATGTGTGCCCGGGCACTTGCTTCCCATATGGGATCCCAGTGAGTTTTTACAGGGCGCACACCCTGAGTGGGAGCCGGGTTAGGAGGTGGTGTGGGGTTTGGGCTGGCTCCTGGCCCCCACCTGTGACCCTACTGTAGGCTGAGCCCCTGCGGCCACAGCACTGGTCCCCTGACCCCTAGCCCAGAGCCTGCTGTAGGCTGAGTCCATGTGGCCATACCACGGGTCCCCTGACCCCCAGCTAGAGCCTGCTGTAGACTGAGCCCCTGTGGCCACAGCACTGGCCCCCTGACCCCCAGCTAGAGTCTGATGTAGGCTGTCCCTATGGCCACAGCACTAGCCCCCTGACCCCCAGCTGAGTCTCTGCTGTAGGCTGTCCCTGACGCCACACCACCACAGTGAGTTTCATTTTCAGTCGTGCCCTCCAGGACTCTGCCCCCCCTCCCCTCCCATGATCCTCACCCCCAGGGATGCTCCTCACACCCAGTGCTGGTTTGGCGTGTGGGCTGCTGGAACGAGGGCCAGTGCATGAGGGCCGGGTCCTGTTGCTGGCCGGGTGCACGGCAGGTCGGCTCTCCTGGTGCGGGTGCTGCCGGGAGGGGCCATCTCCCTGGCTTGGGCTGCGGACAGCTGGTGCCTTTGTCAACAGGCCTCTCCCCAGCACCCAGGGGAGCTGTGCGCCTTTCATCTCCGCTCAGACCAGGCCACTGTCCCATCCAGGGGCCGAACCTTGGGACAGTGCAGCTTAGGGCCAGGGGACACTGTCCTGTTGCAGGGTCCTCCTCATTGCTCCAAGTCCCCATGAAGCAATGGGGTGAACTTTGAGCCAGTGTCAGGGTTGCACAACCCGAATGGAAAATGAGGGTGTAGTAATGGGTTTCTGAGCAGGGGTCTCCTGTGGGCCTTTAGTAAGTGCCCACGGGTAGCCCAGACTTTCACTTGTACTGGCTGAAACTTTTGGTGAGGGTTATGTCTTACTGCTGATCAGACTCTGATTTGGGCGGTGTATGTATGTGTATATGTGGAGGTGGGGTGGGGTGGAGGGTGGGGGGAGTGTTGTCTGAACAGTTTCTTGAAAAGCCTAAAATGGGCAGCCCACCCTGGTTTGATCCCTGTCACCCTTATGGTCCCTGAGCACCTCTAGGAATGATCCCTGAGTGCAGAGACAGGAGAAAGCTCTGAGCAACACTGGGTGTCATCCCCAAACAAAAAATCAGTCAAACCAACCAACTCTCCACACCCCCACCACAAAACCAAACCCACACCAAACCCTAAAGCAGTGTTTGCTAATAATGACTGCCAGTGCTCAGGGCTTACTCCTGGCTCTGCTCAGAGCATCACCCCTGGTGGGCTCCAGGGACCCTAGGAGTGCGGGGGGGGGGGGGGATCAAATCTGGGTTGGCTGTGTGCAAGGCAAGTGCCCGTCCCACAGTACTATTGCTCCAGCTCCCGGGGAAAGAAGAGTTGTTGGAGGAGAAAGGTGTGTGAACTGCTCTCCGAACTGCTCTGTGGGCTATTCGCGTGCGAGTCTGAATTTTGTTCACCCCCCGTGGGCTTCCCCTGGACCCTGGGAAGAGGGGCCGGGCCTCCACGCTAACAGCCATGTCACCGCGTAGGACGAGCCTGGAAAGCCCCCTCTGTGGCTGGGCTTTGAGAGGATTTGGAAAAGCAGTGCCCCAGAGGAGGGGCTGGGGACAGACACTCCTTGCGATGCTTGCCGGGCGGGAGAGGCCCCTTCGGGAGGCCAGCAGGTGCAGGGAGAGACCTGCAAGCCAGGGGCCCACCTGGCGAACTGCATCTGCGGAACTTGGACGCATGGTTGGGTCTGCACCACTGGAACTTTCTGTCCCTGCTGCCTCCTGCGTCTCCCTCCTGTCCTTTGGGGCCAGAGCCAGCCCTGCACGTTTGTGAGGGCTGGGCCAGCCTCCGCTGGCTTGGAATTTGCGTTGAGTATGGCTTGAAGTCATCTGGGTGGTTTGCAGGACTTGGACATTCTTTACTCGGAATGGAACGCTAGGCTAATTTGTGAAATATGTATGGTAAGTGCCTGGGAGCCGGGGTGCCGGCCAGGTGCTGCCTCTGGACCAGAGAGGCCGCGTGGCCCCGGGGCGAGCGGGAGACAGGGCCCGGTGCGTGCTGAAGAGGCAGGATGTGGTCCAGGAGAGGTGGGCGCGGGGAGGTCTGCAGAGGGGGCACGGCTCTTCCGGGGGCAGGAAGTGTTTGTGAGGATGCAGGCTGTGGAAAGGGGTGCAGGGGTTCTGACGTGGGAGGTTGGCCGTGTCCTGCTCGGGAGTTGGGATTTTGCCCTGAGCTGGTGGCGTGAGGGCGGAGAGGCCTATCAGGAGGGCTCACCGAGTTGAGGCCTGCTCCTCTGCCATATGCCAGGCTCCTTAGAGATGCCCGTTGAAATCGCCCAGGGGCCCTGCAGAGAAGCCGCTATTGCCACTGCTGCCCCTCTCCCCTCATCCCCATGCCCCAGTTTTATTTTATTTATTTATTTATTTATTTATTTATTTTTTGCTTTTGGGGTCTCACCCAGCAATGCTCAGAGGTTACTCCTGGCTCTGCACTCAGGAATTACTCCCGGCCGTGCTTGGGGGACCATATGGGATGCCGGAGATGGAACCCGGGTTTGGTGCATACAAGGAAAACGCCCTACCTGCTGTACTGTCGATCCCCACGCCCCAGTTTTAGATGGGGACGTGGGGCTGGCGCCATACTGTAGCGAGTAGGGCGCTCGCCTTGTTTCCAGCTGACACAGGTTCAATTCCCCGGCATCCCGTGTGGGTCCTGCTAAGGGTGACACCTGAGTGCAGAGCCTGGAGTTACCGCTGAGCACCACTGGCTGTGGCCCAACCAACCCAACTAACCACCACCAACAAAAAAATAGATGGGAAGGCCTAGGCTCTTGTGCAGTGTTTGAACCCAGGCCCGAGCTGTTTCCTCTGGGTGGTACCACCCCGCCAGGGGCCATTTGTCCTGGTCTGGTGGAGTTCAGCTCACAGAGAGAGTTGGGGGGCCTCTGTCCAGCGGGGAGCCGGAGAGTTGGGGGGGCTTTATCCAGCTCCTCAGCCCATCTCAGCCCCACCCCTCTCCTGTGAGGCCCACGGTGGGGCTGAGAGTGGCTGTGGAGCCTGCTGAGGGTGGGGGGTCATGCCAGGTGGTGTGGGTGGCCGTGCCCTGCTCCTGGGTCCCTGCAGAGCTGTCTGTGAGCAGAGGCACAGTCTTGCCTTGTGCGGTGGAGCTCCTGGCTCTGGGCAAACGAAGACATTGCTGAGGGAGGCGTGGAGGGGAGCGAGGGTGCGAGACTGCGGCCAGACCACGCCAAGAGGTGCCCGGGGGCTGCATGGCCTCTTTCTCTGTTCTCCTGAGACTCTCAGCATTCCAACTGCTGAGACCCCACCCTTGCCCCACCATGCTTTTCTTGACCGCTTCCAGGAGCCACCCCTGGGCGTTGCAAGCACCCCAGCTATGAGAATCCTAGCCTGGTGGAATGTCTTAAGTTCTGCTGAGCCTTAGGGTTCCCTCGGGATCAGTCACCAGGGCCTGGCCATTGGGGAAAATTTTCCCAGGATTGGGGGCTGGAGCAATAGCACAGCGGGTGGGTTGTTTGCCTTGCAAGCGACTGACCTGGGTTCGATTCCTAGCATCCCATATGGTCCCCCGAGCACCGCCAGGAGTGATTCCTGAGTGCAAAGCCAGGAGTACCCCTGAGCTTCGCTGGGTGTGACCCAAAAAGCAAAAAAAAAAAAAAAAAAAGAATTCCCGGGATGGGAAAAGAAAACTGTTTTCTTTTTTTCTTTTCCAAGTCTGAGAAATGGGTTTACTGTCTCTCCCCGGAGGTAAGGCTGAGTCATAAATCAGGCTTCCTCTGGAAGGAAACGAAGAAACGGCTTCAGGAGGAGTGGGTGGAGTGGGTAAGTGGGTTAGGGGCAGGGCCATCCCCTTCCCCAAAGGAGAGGCAAAAAGAGGGTCTCTTGGTCTGGGGCTGCTTTATCTGGCCTGTCCCCCAGCTTCCGCTTAGTGGTTTGGAGATCAGTGGGAAGGGTGGACATGGATATCTTGGATCGTGTGGCCTCCTGGGTGGGCCTGAGCCATCTGTCACCACAGTCGCCCAGAGCAGACCCAAGCTCTTGTCGTCTAGAGGAAAGTGTTTGCACCAAGTTGTTCCCTGTCTCTCCCCCACCCCTCTGCAGCAGGACGCCCTCTCCTTCCTAATCCCGCCCCTCCTGACTGTGCAATGCTCTTGCCCTGCCCTGCTTGCTCCCGGGTCTCCCGCACCTGGCTGAGGACTTCCTGAAGACAGGTCTCATTTCTAACCGCGGGCTCTGGAGGCAGAGTTCTGGGTGCATCAAGGGCGGGGGTCCTGATTCACTGCCCTGCCCTGCTGTGGTCAACTGTGGGATGGAGAGCCAGTGCATTTCCTGACAGCCGGATGAGGATAGTAATAGTTTCCTTCTGCTCAGGAGATGGACAGATCTGCCTGGCCCACCGTCCAAGGATAATGAGATGCTCGAAGTTGTTTCTGGTGTTCAGGCCTAGGAGGGCCCTGTTCTTTTGGAGACAAAAGACCAAAAACAAACAAACAAACAAAAAAAATAGGGGCTGGAGCGATAGCACAGTGGGTAGGGCATTTGCCTTGCACACGGCTGACCCAGATTCGATTCCCAGCATCCCATATGGTCCCCTGAGCACCGCCAGGAGAAATTCCTGAGTGCAGAGCCAGGAGTAAACCCTGAGCATCACCGGGTGTGACCCAAAAAGCAAAAAAAAAGTTTGCAGGACTTGTTCTGATGGTGAAACTCTCCTAGGAGTCAGGGCAGCTGGCATGGGTGTGTGGAGCTGCTGGTCTTCTCCAGGAAGCCGTCAGGGCGTCTTCTCTGCCACACCTGTTTGTCCTCTCCTCTCCTCCTGTGTGTGCAGTGTCAGGACTGGGGGGGGCCTGACCCTTGGCACCAGCTGGGCTGTGCAGGCTGCACGCAGGCTTGATTGCGTGACGCCCTCTAGACCGGTCATCCGGGTAAGGGCCCAGGGCTGCAGCCAGCCGAGGCTTTGCAGAGACTATGGCCCCTTGGGGAGCGGGAGGGGCCGGGCCCAGGACTGGGTCACTGACTGGGTTGGGGCAGAAACTGCATCAAGCTCAGAATGGGTCCCTAGCTGCCTGGGGGACTACTGAGGGCCTGTGTTTAGCTCCAGACTTGCACCTGGGGGCCCTAACTCCCCATCCCCTCAGGAGACGCGCCGGCTTCCCGGGGCACTCAGCCCCCACTCGCTGTGGTGCTGGTGCTGACTAGGATGGCAGCAGGAGATGGGCACGTCACCTCTCAGCAGTGTATCCAGGCTCGGGGGTCCGCCCGGGGTCTGCTGGTTTTGCAGGGGCTGTATGGTTCGGCGGAAGTGGATTTGTTCTGTGCGTCTCTGGAGCGAGGAGGAGGTGTGGTCGGGGCCAGACAGGGTGGACGTGCTTCGAGGCTGGAGCGGCTCCTGCGTTGCGCGGTGGGCGCTCTGGCCCCCGGCCCACTGGAAGGTGGAGTCTCCTCTTCCAGGCCGGCCCAGGATTGCCTGTCCGGGCAGGTCTTGGAGGGTGCTGGGGCGAGGCTGGCTTGGCTGTTGCGCAGCACGGCACCTCTAGTCCGTACCAGCAGCCCAGCACAGAGCGGCGTGCCCAGGCAGAGGCCGGGGGCAGAGCCGCAGATGTCATCATCGCAGGGCTCTGCCCTCCCTGGCTTCCTCTCTTCTCCTGACCAAAGCCCCCGCTTCCTCAGGGAAGCCCTCCTGGCTTCACCCCTGGTAAAGCCTGTGCTTCTCAGGGTTGGTCTTGGGTAGCACTGGCATTGCCTGAAAACTTCTCTCTGCAGTGGGGTTGGGGGTGCCCCCTGCGGTGGTTGCTCAGGGCTGACTCCTGGCAGGGTTTAGGGGACCATATAGGGTGCTGGGGATTGAACCTGGGTTAGTCGTGTGCGAGGTGAGCGTCTTCCCCACTAGCCCCCCTGCTGGAGAACTTTTTTTTTTTTTAAGTGAAGTAAAATAGTTGTATTGAGGGAGGGTACTCAAGAGAAAGTAGCGTACTCCGGGAGAGAAAAGAAAGGTCCTTTTTCTTTCCCAACAAAGTAAAGGAATTTGTTCCCTAAAGAAAGACTCAGGCAGCCATCCGTGGAGTGCTATAAAAGAGAGATTAAGCACCCAGAGTGGACGTGTGGGCGGCCCAAGTGGTGTGCCCGCCAGGGAACTCTTTGGAAATGCGCAGGATCTTGACCACACCAACCCTCCAGAACCAGGAACTCTGGTGACTGCGGCGTGACTCCAGCAGTTCGTTTATTGTCTTATTTTTGTTAGGGGCCCACACCCAGTGGCGCTCAGGTGTACCCCCTGACGGGTACTCAAGGGGCCATGTGTGATTCTGGTGGACTCGGCACAGGATTGTGACTTCCGCAGCTGTGTGTGAGGCAAGAACCTCCCCTCCTGGGGCCGGAGCAATAGCACAGCAGGGAGGGCGTTTGCCTTGCACGCAGCCAACCCGGGTTCGATTCCCAGCATCCCTTATGGTCCCCTGGGCACCCTGAGCTGGGGTAATTCCTGAGTGCATGAGCCAGGAGTAACCCCTGAGCATTCCGGGTGTGACCCAAAAAACAAACTAAAACAAAACAAACAAAACCTCCCCTCCTGTACTATCCACACTCCAGCCATCTATTTCTTTTTTTTTTCTATTTTAAGAAGACCCCACCCATAGCCCTATCCCCCCCGGCTAGGGATGTAGCCCAGCCTCAGTGGTAGGGAGCTCGTCCCTGGCACTGCCAAGCAACAACAGCGCACAGCATGCTTGCATGCTTAGGTTCGAGAAACACTTGACTAGCTCATGTTTGAAATATCTGCCTGTTTCCTTGGGCTCTTCAAGATGAGGCGGTCTTTAGCATTCCAGACACCTAGCAAAAGTGGGAGCCACGGAGGAAAACCCAGTGTCTCTAGCCGGTCTTCAAGGAACTGCAGCCCGCTCCAGGGAACGGCCACCCCTTCCCCCGGAGCGAGCCTGGGCTGCAGTGGACACGAGCCCAGCGGGGGCCAGGGCAGCCCACGAGCCCGCCCTGGGGAGTGCCAGGGCCAGGGCTGTGTGGGCATCCTGGGGCGCCAGGGCGGGCGGCAGGAAGAAGCACCGGCTGTGGTCCTCGAGGTCGGCGGAGCCTGGCCGGTCAGCGGATCCGTGGTTTCCAGAATGATCCCCTAATTGCCACCCACACGGCCTCGGAGCTTATCAGCCTCGCTTGGCCCTTCCTGCACGTGCATCTGGCGTGATCCCCAGAATAATCCTGTCTTTTTCTTTGCCCCCCTTTCACAGATGGGAGCACTGAGGCCCGAGAGCCGTGGTGGGGCTGTGTAAGGGTGCGGAGGAGCAGGAGCTCGCTGGGAGTGCTCACGTCTCGGGCACAGGTCAGTGTGGTTTTCTCAGGGTTTGGGGTCTGCACCGTCGTGTCTGTGCTGAGTGACTCGGGCTTTCTTGGGGGCGGGATGGTGCCGGTTAGGCCCCACAGCTCCACAGGCTGGGCCCTCCCCCGCAAGTCTGGGCTGTCTGGCCGTTCTGTGACAGGTCAGGGCACAGGCCCAGGTGCCACAGCCAGAGCGGGAGAGAGTATGAGAAGAAGTGGGTCTCGGGTGCAGGGTGGGAGATCGGGCCGGCCTGCCACCCTGCAGTCCTTCCTTCCTTCCTTCCTTCTTCCTTCCTTCCTTCCTTCCTTCCTTCCTTCCTTCCTTCCTTCCTTCCTTCCTCTCTCCTCTTTCTTTTTTTCTTTCTTTCTTTCTTTCTTTCTCTCTCTGTCTCTCTCTCTCTCTCTCTGTCTCTCTCTCTCTCTCTCTCTCTCTCTTTCTTGTTTTTGGGCCACCCCCAGTGGTGCCCGGGGTGACTCCTGGACTCTGCACCCAGGAATCACTCCTGGAAGTGCTTGTGTGACCAGCATATGGCATGTTGGGGATCGAACTCGGGTCAGTCGGGTGCAAGACGAGTGCCCTTGCACATTCCCCACGGTTCCCTCTCTCCCACCCGCCGCCCCCCGCCCCGCCCCAGTGCCCCTGAGAGCTTTCTGGGCAGTGCAGGGCCCCTTGGTTTCTCCCTGGGAGCTGGGCTCCGAGAGGGCCGGCAACTTGGCCACACACTACGGACTGGTGTGAAGCCCAGAGCTCTGTCCCGTCCCACCTGCAGCGGGCAAGCCGGGTCCCCTCGGGATAGCCCGGGATAGCCCGGCAGTGCAGGGGAGGAGGGACACAGGCCTGGGAGTGTCCCCGGGAGAAAGCTGCCAAGGAGGGGTGGGGTGGCTTCCGAGAGGAACAGGAGCCCCAACCCCAGACGGAAACCAGCTGCATTTTCTCGGTCCGGGGAGGATATTTGGAACAATAGAAGTGGAAGGGGGGAAATTGGTCTATAAAAAGGGCTTCTTGATATCTTTAAACAAAAAAAGTTGTCAGTAGGTTGGACTTTTGTTTCTCCGAAGGATGTTTATGTGACTTTCTGAAAGCTGGACCCCACAGCTCCGTGAAGTTGGTCAGCTGCCTTTGTTCCTTGGGCCTCGGGGCTGGGATGGTGTCGCTCCCCTTTCGAGAGTTGGTGAGATGAGACCGGCGGGGGTGTGGCAGGGCAGTGGCACCGTGGGACCGGGGCTCCCCTGCGGGCTTCTCCCAGGCTGCGGCAGTGGGGGCTCCCCTGGCCAGATGCTGGGCCCAGCTGTCTGCCGTCTGCCCTCTGCCCAGGCAGCCAGGGCTGGTGTCAGATTCACCCTGTGCTGGCCCCGAGTCCTGCTGAAAGTGGCCACGTGTGTCCTTGGTCCCGTCTGCACACGGAGCCCGTGAGCCCCAGAAACCGTGCGACGTTCCCTAGAGGCATTTCTGTGGTCTGCCTGGAGACTCTCTCGGGGTCTTCGGCCGTCAGAGGGCTCCGTGTCATCCCGGGCGCCGGCAGTCTGGGGCTTCTCAGCAGTTGTCACGGACAGGAGCCTGGTGGCAGGACGGGGTCAGAGTTCAGAGTGGGGTCAGGAGCTGTGGGTCACGCGAGCGCCTGCAGCCCCGCGTGGGGACAGCAGCAGGGGCTCGTGGCATTAAGGACCCTGCCCTCCCTGACCCAGAGCTCACCCTGGGGCAGGGTCGCTGCCTGTGTGACAGGGTCCAGCTCAGCGCTGATGGGTGGCTGCACCCCTGAAGTGCCTCGTCTGGAGCTCTCGGGTCATGGTGTCTGCCCGGGGGGCCTCCAGGAAGGGCTCTTGAGCAGGGCATGGTGGGGAGGGGAGGCCCGGTGCTGTCCTCAGGCAGGGTCATGGGATCAGCCCTGCTGTGTCCTGCCGTGTGTCCCTCTTCCCTTCCCTACCACCCACTGCAGGGCTGTGGCGGCTGCTCTGCTCCTCAGCTCCAGGGAGGAGCTTGAACCTGCTCTAGTTTGGAGGGTTGTTGTTGCCCCTCCCCGGGGGCAGAGACAGGGACTTCTTTTCCGAGGAGGGGGACAGGTGGGCTGTGGTCTCCCGCCGAGGACTCCTGTGGTTCCAGCAGGTGTGCCACGTTGTCCCTCGCCGTGCGGCCCTGGGTGGTGGCTGTCTCTCCCGGGTCACCTCCCCGGTGGCTCTGCCGGCTTCCCCCCCAGTGCCTGCCACGCACACTCTCTCTGTCCCCTTGAAGAGTGACCCCTGGCAGGCCGTCTCCGCCCGGGGCATGTTTCTGCCTCGCCTGAATGCTGAGCTCCTTTGACGGCTGGAGAGTCAGCCTCCGGGAAGAGCAGAGAACCTGGGTCCCACAGTTGCTCCTGCCCGCGCTTGCGGGATCTCTGACCCTGCGGGCCCATCCCTCCTGTGCTGGGTGGTGCCCACTTAGGGCCTCACTGGGCCCCAGGGGACCAGCCTCTGGAGCAGCCTGTCCAGTGGTGCCGGAGCAGTCTCCCGGACCAGCAGTGATGGCCCAGCCAGGGAGTAGCCCCGCTGGGCCGTGGAGGAAGGGCTGCGAGGAGGAGCCTCTGACCCCTAACTGCCTCACAGGCAGGTGTGTGACGGGGGCTGGGGGCAGGACCCCTGGCCTTTGGGTCTCAGGGTTGCTGTCCACCCAGTGGTCTTCCTCGGGGCTTGTGCTTCTACCTCAGCTCTCCATGCAGCTCTCCATCGATGCCCATTTCCCTCTTTCCATTGAAGTCCTCAGCCCTTGAGACCAGCCATGCTATTGGGGACGGGGTCGGAGCTGGGGGTTGCCTCTGTTCTGGGGGTAAGGCAGTGCCCGGATCCCCACCTGCTGCCCGTGGGGAGGAGGGCACAGAGGCGGGAGCCAATGCGTGCTCCCTTCCCTCTCCGGGCGCCTGGGAGGCGTCTTGGAGGAACGAGGGGCTGGACTGTGACATCTGCATGGGCCCCCCTGGCCAGGCCGGGGTGAGGTCCCTTTCTCAGGTCCCAGTGTAGGGTGCCAGGGAAGGAGCGGGTGGAGTTTGAGTGTGACCAGTCAGAGGCTGCGCCCCCAGCAACCCCCTGATGGTAGTCTGTGCCCGGGGGTTGGGGACTGGCTTCCCTCGGTCACTGGCTGGGCAGTTCCCTGTCATCTGGTGCTGGGGCAGTGGGCCTGGGCAGGCCGTCGACAGGCCAAACTGAGGCACAGAGCAGGACACGTGTGCGTGGGCAGGCTTTCCGACCCTCGTGCCAGGCTGTCCGGGCAGGAAGTCGTTATGGGGGAGGGCCTGGCATTGGGGGTGTGCAGATGGCCCCAGACACCCAGCATTCCCTTACCGCGTGCCTGGGGGGGTCTGCTGCCCCTTGCCCTGTGCCTGGCACCAGGCTCTATGCGCCTTCTTCCCAGAACAAAGCTTCCTTCTTAGGGGCTGGCCTGGTGGGGGGCCCCCAGCCTCCGCCCTCCTCTGCCAGCAGGGGACTGTCTCTGGCCCGGGGGCGGGCAGCTGTGGGGGGCAGTGGGGAACAAGGACCAGCCCTGGGGGCTGCTGCTGAGGCTGTGGGCACCAGGCCATGTGGATCCCGCCCCCAGGAACCCTCCTCTAAGGGGGGTGGGGGCAGGAGCCCTGAGGTGCTGGGGGGGTGTGGTTTTCTTTCTTTTTTTTTTTTTTTTTTGCTTTTTGGGTCACACCCGGTGATGCACAGGGGTTACTCCTGGCTCTGCACTCAGGAGTTACTCCTGGCGGTGCTCAGGGGACCCTATGGGATACTGGGAATCGAACCCAGGTCGGCCGTGTGCAAGGCAGACGCCCTACCCGCTCTGCTATCACTCCAGCCCTGGGCTGTGGTTTTCTTCACGCACCCTCTTCCTTCCGGTGTTGAGGCTGCATCACCGATGATGCAGCCCCACCTGGACTTGTGGCTGGCACAGAGTCAGAACCCCCCAGCCGCTGCCCCGGCCTCAGTATCTCCCCTGCCCCCGCACTGGCTGTGTGCCAGGCGGCTGGGAGGGAAGCGAGGCCCTGGGGAGGGCACAGTCATGTCGGACATGGGGTGCACCGGGAGCACCAGGGAGCCGAGAACAGCCAGGGAGCAGCGAGGGGCAGGGCAGGAGACTTGCAGGGGGCACTTCACCCTGGCAGGGGCTGGCGCCGATGTACCTGTACTCAGGCATCCTGGGAGGCTCTGGTGTCCAGCCCCGGCTCCCACAGAACCCTCAGAAACTAAACAGTCCGCACGGAAGGAGGGGAGGCAGCTGTGGGCTGGGGCTGGGGTGGAGGTCGGCTTGTTTGGACATGTCGGAGAGGGGCGAGGTGGGCTTCCTGAGAGCCCCTCTCAGAGAGGGCGCGGGCCAGGCTCGGACTGAGCTGGCAGAGGGACCGAAGGGGTGCTGGTTGTGCGCTGGCCGCCGCAGGGCGGGGCATGGGAAGTCCTGCCCGCCAATTTGGGGGAGGCCACGGGGTGCGCCTGCCTGGGGGACATGGAGTTCCTGTGCTTTGGGGGTGACCTGGGCCTTGCATGCTCCTCTGCCTGCAGGGGGTGGGCTGTGCCCTTGCGGGACCCGCCCCCCCAGCTCTGCGAATCTGCCCTTGGGGAATGATGTTCCTTGGGCCCTTCCTGAGCTCCTGCCTGGTCCTGCTTTCCTAGTCTCTGTCCAGAGGAAAGGCCGGTTCTGAGGCTCAGGGGCCCTGGGAGTCGGCTGCCCTCTTGCCCCCGTGGGAACTCCTGCCGGGGTCGGGGGACGGGACTGCCTGCCAGTGTCCCTACCTGTCCATGAGTGCTGAGTTGTGCTCTGAGGGTGACCCTGGCAGGCAGAGCCCCAAGACCTGGAACCCAGAATGGACCTGGGGTCGGGCTGTGGGTGTCCACGCAGCTCCGACTGGGCCAGGGACAAAAACCTCCCCGAGCTGCGGTTTCCCCTTGGCAGAAGCGGCCCGGTTGTAGAAGCTGCATCTCTCATCATCCTCAACAGAGACCTGGGCGTATACCACCAGGCTGGTGGCCACAGCAGCGTGAAGGTGGCCAGAG